CAGCATCTCAAACACAGAGAACTACACAGGCAAAAGCAAGGGATGTCAAAGGTCTTGCATGTCATATCCCCCTTTAGGAGTCTAGGGTTTGATATATGAATAGTAGAAAGAGAGGCAGAGGGAATTGGGGTAGGAAGGTCCCAGTAAAGAAGCTAAGCTTCTTTTTGGAGATGGCAATCGTTTCTTAAAATGTTAGGGACACACACACACACACACACACACACACACACACACACACACTCCTGCACCTAGCACTTGCAAAATCCTTAATGACCCGGAAATAAAAGGACAAATGGAAGCCTGGGGCCAGTTTCCATTCTCCTTTGACCCAACTCTGTTTCTCTCACAAAGGACTTGTGCAAATATGTGTGGAGACCTCAGACCTCAAATTCAAGCTCTCTCTGCTCCTCTTCTCAGCTAATCTTTGCTTACAAGAAGGGAAAACTAAGGCCTCACAGGACCTGCAATGAGTTTGGAGCTATGGAGACAGAAAATCTTAGGGTTTCAGTGATGTGAAGCATGTTCAGAAGGGAGATCAGGGGACAGGTGGGCACAGTGCACTCACTGCTGAGCCCTTGTTCTGGGAAGAAGTCAGTCTGACAGAATCCAATATGGGAGTCAGAACAAGGTCCATGGCTGCACTGCGGAGGTGTTAGGATGAGAGCCACTTCTATTTTCCATGAGAGAATAACTTTCGGAGGCTCACATGAGCCAGCAGCTCTGTGCCCTGTCTGCTGTCTTCTTGGCCTGTAGGCCGTTACTGAAGAAGGTCACGTGAACAGGACCTTATCTGGAAGCAGAGACCAGAGGCTGTAGGCTTGGATGTATTTACACGGGGGATATAAATTCAACAAACCAATCTCTACTGCACACACAAGACTTTCTCAGCAATTTCAACTTGTTTGCACCGACCCAAATGTAAACCCAGGACTTTGACCATGGAAGGCAATTACTGGAGCAGCATCTCAGTTTGGCAGGTGAAGCTATTTGGGAGGTGGGGGTCATCACACTGAAAGCATGAGTGTTCCCATCACACATCCTGAAAACTAGTTTTTCACGTGTAGGATTTCAGGATCTCCTCTTGGTTGAAAACAAAGCAAAAAAAGAAATGCATGCCTCGGAGATCCTGCCGATGTGCTGGCGTGAATAGAAGAGGAGGGGTGGAAACAAGCGATTGGAACTCAGTTTCCTAGAACAAACCACCATCTGGTCATCTCCTAGGAAGTCCGCTCGACAGATCCCAGAGATGCTAGACAAACAGAAAATAGTCATTGGCAATCTGGGAGACAAATGTATAAACAAGCAGTTCCTGGGCAGTGTGACAAGTGCTAATTATGATGGACAGTGGCGCATGGAGCTAGGGATGTGTTCCGCCATGAAGCCTCAGGGACATAGACCACAGGGTTGTTTCCTAAGGGCAGATGCTGAAGCTATACCTAGCCCAGAGCTCCTGCCCCATAGCCAACGCCTCTGCTTTCTAGAATGTGAATGACCACGGTCACAAGACACTTTCAACTGCATTTAGCTTACCCAGGGCGCCACTAGAGCTCCAACTTATTGCCTTTGAACTGAGATTTCCCGGAATCTCTCAATTTCCATAGGCAGGGGGAACCTCCAAAATCATCTCCCAAAGTCTCTTTCGTCAATGGATGTGTTCTCAGTCCCCTTTTCATGGTGATGCTGTGGAGAATCCTTTTTGGCCAAAGTGTGCATGCATGTCTCAGTTCTGTCTGGAGTGTAGTCATAGTAAAGATTTTTGTGACATCTGAAGAGGAGTCACATAGAAAGCGGTCATATTTGTGGGTCCTCCCAACATTCTACATTTACTTACTGTTCTAATTTATCCACCCCCCAAATCCTTGGTGTGTGTCTTCCCATGAAGGCTTTAGTAGGGATGTAAGCAAGGCCCTGGGAATGCAGCTCCTATTCTTAAAACACTCCTGTACATGTGGGTAGCAATGACTGGACTTAGTGGGCTATAAACAATAACAAAACAATGTGAAGTCTGGAAGGGGTTGTGTTGGGGGAACATGGGGCAAGTTGGAGGGAAACATGGAAATAGATGTGGTATATTAATGTATACATGTATGAAATGCTCAAGAATAAAGACAAACTTTTAAAGGCTTCTTAGGGCATTTCTCCAAGAGAGGCAGTTCTGTGTAAGAGGAATCCCCACTGTTAGGGAAAGGCAATTTTCTCTCTTTACAGTTCATTTTATGCTCATTAGCAGCCCTCTGAGATTAGTGCAGTAATTTCCATGTTATAGATGAGGAGATGGAGGCACAAAGATGAAGTGCCCTTGGCCAAGGTCACTTAGCTATTGTGTGCCAGACTCTGGCTTCCAGCTATGTTCCAGCTCAATCATGTGTTCTCCGGAGAACCAGGGTCTACCCCTGTGCCCCAAAATTTCTAAACCAGAGGGAAGCTCTTTGCTGTGTGACAGGCTTGCCACTCCCCTTGAACCCCATGAATAAAGGGAAGGAAGGTGTTTACAAGTACATCTGTACAGTTGGGGTGTGGAAAACTAGGGTGGGAGTTGAGGACAGGCTCGTGTACAGCTTAGCATTGAGTCCCAGCATTGACCCCGCTGGTGGCAGGTCCCAGGCTCTTAAGGACACAGCAATTTTTGTGTTACAATTTTTGTTTTTCCCTAGCTTTCCTCTAGGTCTCTTCCAAATTCCCAACGGCTGTGGCCTGCCTCATGTTTATGCTCCTATTCTGACCTGTCTCCAGTGGGGCCACGTAGAGAAAAATCAAAGGATTGGGACTTTCTCAGACTGTAAATCTCAGCCCTGTCTCTCACTGTGTGTCCTGAGGACATGAGACTCATGTCTCAGCACTTTGGTTTCTGCTCGAGTAGGTCTTCTGATGCCTTCTCACGAGTTGTGAGGTTGATCAAGCCCAGCACGTACCCCTTCCATGGCTGTGGTGGTCTGGCCCACTTTTTACCTCCCTTGTACACTAGACATGGGGTCAGGCAGATTCAAATTCAAAGCCTCATCTGTTACTTTGTCCAAGTTCTGTTACCTCTCCAGGCTTTGATTTGTTCATTTGTCAAGTGAGTTGGCAATCCCTTCCTTCTAGCGTCATGATTCAGAAAATAGAACAAACACTTTGTGAATGCTGTTCCATTGATGATATTTTATCTGTACTTTTAGACTATTCTGAACATCTCAAAAATTGTCTTTGACATGGAATATTGTAGTATTTAAGATGTGTATCAAAACTATGTCCTTATCCTTAACTGAGTCTTAAATATCTGTGCTCGCACTTCCTAATGAGGGACTAGAGGGCCCCATGAGGTAACAGTCCTCCTGGGGTTCAGTGTCGGTTTTGAGGAAGGTCCCTGAGAAGGAGCATTTGAGAGGTGTTACTTCGGGGTGTATACCGGCAGAGTTCTGGAATGTATACAGATAGAACAATTCTTGCTGGACGAAAGCTGGAGGGGTTGCTGACACTTCCCAGGCAGGACGTTCCCTCTATCACTCTTCCCACGTATCTGTAGTCACTGCAAACTGGACCACAGAGAGACACCCAGCCAAGCAATCATAGCTATGCCTGCTCACATCCCCTAACTGTGAGTCCCACACCTTTTATCTTTCATTCTACATAGGTTCAGCATACTGGGCCCTGAGCATCGCGTCCTCGGTCCCTTTCACCAAGTCACTCATTTGCTTTTGGGACACTGACTCTCTTTTGCACAAAGGACCCTGTAGCATGGATAACCAGGCTGAAGAATGAGGTGTGAAATCCTCAGCCCAGGAGAGGCCAGAGCTACTGATTTAAGTAGTATGCACATCTATAGGATGGACTACCCTCCTCTCTGACATACTTGTGAAGTGTGTGCCTTGACAAAGCTCTGTTATAAGCTACACTACTCCCATAGGGGTGAATTAGGGAACTAAGTTGGTATCAAGAGTCCCCACCATAGCCTTTCTTGTGGTGCAGAGGCAGCTGTACTCCAAAGGTTCTGGGAACTCAAGGACTGGAGTGGTGACCATATCCTAGTCTGTTGCCCTACATAATGGTGCTACCCACAACCGGCATTTATGAGTCATTCAGGTTCTGTATGGCATATGAAAGATGATTATTATTCTTATTACTCTTCCTATTACTATAAAAATAAAGCTTCAGCTAGTCTATAAGGTGTGCTTATTAATTCCAGGTGCAACTCTATTGGCTGAGTATTTTATCTGGCTCCACCCTCTCCTGCAGTGGGGCTAGCTTCTATTATCACTAATTTACAAATGAAGTAAGAAGTAGACTCAAAGACACAGCACAACTTGATAATGGCCTGGAAGTAGTATGGGGTTAAATGCTGACCAGACCCCTACCTTCACTATTCTTGTCTGTTTTAATCAGTTTTGTGCAAAAATCATCTCTTTATCTCTTGCAAGGTATAAATATATCAGTGCATGGATTATGAACTATGACATGGTCATTGTTATATATGGGATCTGGGACAAATATCAATGTGTAAAGGGAGATCAGGTACTGGGGACTAGTAGAATAGTGTTCATGGGGGACATGGGGGGGGACAGGAAGAAGAGTGAAGTGTGGCAGGATGCTAGCAAATGATCCGTCCCTCTCATAAGTGAGAGCAGGAAGGTGAATTCAAAGGCCAAGTTCTTGTGGCATTGTGGTCATACAGATGGATTGGAGGTCTGTGGTGTAGCCAAAGTTCCAAATTGTGCACCTGAATGGGAAGAAAAAGGGGGACCCTCAGCTCTATGGAGAGAGGCCTTAGCTGAGTTAAACACAGAACTCCACTGGTCATCTAAATCAGCGAATGGCAGAAGTGGGTGCACTTGGGAGCACCCGAGAGTTGTCACCCGACAGTTGTCAGTGGGACTCAGATTTTATATTTTTGTGACTGGCACACTTCATTGTGAAGGAAATAGAAAATTTTTCACCCTATTTATTTTGTTTTGTCTTAGATCTGTGTCCACCCACTTCCTGTAGTCTCCTCAAAACTCATGTATCTTGTGTGTCTTTTCCAGATCCCGTGCACGGCCCTCAGAACGTGGAGATTGTGGACATTCGGGCCAGGCAGCTGACCCTGCAGTGGGAGCCCTTTGGCTATGCAGTGACCCGCTGCCACAGCTACAACCTTACGGTGCAGTACCAGTATGTGTTCAACCAGCAGCAGTACGAGGCCGAGGAGGTGATCCAGACCTCTTCCCACTACACCCTGCGGGGTCTGCGGCCCTTCATGACAATTAGACTGCGCCTACTGCTCTCCAACCCTGAGGGCCGGATGGAGAGTGAGGAGCTGGTGGTACAGACCGAGGAGGATGGTGAGTGAGGGATAGTGAGCCAGTTTATGGGAACAGAGAAGGTGAAGTGTGCTCAGGGGTCATACCAGTAAGTGGTGTGGTGCGTGTGTGCATGCGTGCGTGCTTGTATGCATGTGTGCGTGTGTGTGTGTGTGTCTATACACGTGTGTATATGTGTCACATATACATACGTGAGCATTCATATGGAGGCTATAGCTCAGTGGTGCAAGTATCTTCTCTATTTTTTGTTTTTCATCTGACTTTTTGAGACATGGTCTCTCTTTGGGGATTGATGCTCGTAGATAAACAGGCTAATCATCAAGCCTCAAAGAGCTTCCTACCTCAGCATTCACACCACAAGGAATGCAGTCTTACTCTGCCATACACATTTTTTATTTGGATGCTGGGAATCTGAACTCAGGTCCTCGGTTTTACACAGGAAGCAATTTACTGATGGATCGAACTCCTTAACCTTGTCCTCCATCTTCCATCTTCCCACTGTTCTCAAGCTCTCCCTAGAAGCAGACTGTGCGTAGCATGATTCCAGAGTGGCTATGTTGCCGGGAGCAGTGTCAGCTCTGCCATAAGTATGTGCTTGTGGTAACCCCATGTCTCCCCCATATCCCCCGCATGTTCTATCGCTCTTCTTACCCAAGATTTAACTCTTCAGACGCCTCCTGGAAAGGGTAGTTATTTTATTGTTTAAGCATGTTGAGACTGAAAACCAAACAACTTGATTCTGCACAAATTTAAAAAAAAAACAGAATAGCTTAAGGCTTAACGTGAACATTGAATGCGCACAAAGATGATTATCCACCTGGATGTCCCTCAGGCATCTCAAATACCATGTACTGCAGAATGAGCTCATGTTCTCTTCCAGGCTGACTTATCTTCTCGTGTTCCTTGTTTCAATGAGCTACACCTGGGAGAGAGAGAGAGAGAGAGAGAGAGAGAGAGAGAGAGAGAAGAAAATCAACCTAGAAATTTCTTCTCACCCCTCCACACCTCCCACCCACCCATCCCTCCTCCTCCCCTCACCCCTGCCCCATCACACTCCCCATCCACTCCCTCCCTTCTATCCCATCCCACCTTGCCTTCCCACCTCACCACCTTATCCCACTCCACCCTTTCCCTCCCCCGCCCTGCCCATCTCCCCTCACCTCACCATCCCTCCCCCACCCTACAAGGTTCTATGGAGTCTGCTTCTTACACTACTTCTTGGAATGTGTCTCCTACCTTGATGATACTAGATTGGGGAGCCTTTTAAAATAGAGAATAGAACTATCTTCCTCTCTGTCATGGCAATGCTTGTCCTTCTGTTTAGACTGACATCTCCCTTCATGTCTGCAGGATCAGTTCCTCTACTACTATTCCAAAGCTTTACTTAAATTTTACTTTCTCCTTAAGTTATCTTTGCCTCAAGTTTCTTGGTTGTTTCATCCCAGGATTGCAGTACAGTCTGCATGGAACTCCAAACAGTAGCCATCTTCTATATGACAGAATTTGTGATTTCTAAGACATACCTAAGAAACACTTCACTCTGTTTATTTTGGTTTTCCCCTTGGCCTGGCTAATACCGGCCCTATTAAATTCTCTAGAATCGGATTCAATGTAGATTTGTGCACAAGCGATTAAAGAGAGTTTGGGTAGGGATGACAAGGAGGGCAGCAAAGTGGAGGAAGCCCTGTTATAACTTCCGGCAGGTCCGAAGAGAGCTCTCCAGGGTTTGTTATGTATCGCAGATGTTCCACACCAGGGGAGGCAGCTGCAGCTTGTCTTAGATCTGGTTCCATTTTTTATTCAAACACGCAGAGCCCCTATCTCCAACAGAGAGAACAACACTCTTTGAGAAGGCAGACTCTCCAGTCCAGTATGCCTGGGGCACCCTCTTTAATCTCTTAGTACATTGGTTTTCTCAATTATAAAATGAACTTGATATTAATACTACCTTGTAAGCCAGGCGGTGTGTGGTGCACACCTTTAATCCCAGCACTCGGGAGGCAGAGGCAGGCAGATCTCTGGGAGTTCGAGGCCAGTCTCTGAACTACAAGAGCTAGTTCCGGGACAGGCACTAAAGCTACAGAGAAACCCTGTCTCAAAAAACCAAAAAAAAAAATACTACCTTGTAATTTATTATGATATTAGAGGGGGATGGAAGATTTAAAAAAAAAATGGCCCAAGACTCAATTCCAGGCTCTCAATAAGCATTGCTACCTATTACATTTGCAGTAAGACACAGGGAAAAAAAAAAAAAAAAAAACAGAAAGCCTCTGGTACAAAACACCTCAGCCAGCCAGATGTGGGATTTGTCTCGATGTTCTTACCAACCATTGCCCTGGTTGTGGAAAGTCTACTGAGGGTCTTGAAGGACTGGTAGTATACCTGGGTCCTGAAGGGAGAAGCAGGGTTGTGAGCAGAGAGTGGTCAGTGATTGCTATTCCTAGGCTATCGTCTACTGCGGCAGAGAGGAGCCTTTGTGGACAAATCATCATGAGAGAGCCAAGGAGCGCCTCAGAGGGAAGCATTCTCTGGGTTCCGTAGGCCCCTTTGAGCTGCACTATGAGAATGACCTCCATCTGCAATAGCAAGTCCCAAGTCCTACCTTTAAACGCTGTCTTGTCCTCTCTCGTTCTCATTTTTACCACCAGGAGAAAAATAAACACACCACAAAGCCTTTATCAAAACAATGTGGGAACAGCAGTGCTTTGAAATTAAATTTATAGTAAACATCATTAATAAAACATCAATTCCGGCTTCGGGAGATGTGTGGACATTATCATATTAAAGACACCAGCACATAAGACACCCTTCCTTGGTCTGTCGCTCTTCTGAGGCCATGGCTCATAATCTCCTGGAAGGTTCCAGCAGAGTGTGGAGACTCTTTGGCAGTTTGTATTTGTTTTTGTTTGTTAATGTGTTGTCTCAGGCTACTCTTAAACTCTTGGCTGAATCCATCCTCCAGCCTCAGCCTCTTGAGTAGCTAGGACTAAGGCATGCATCAAGATTGCTGTGGACAGTCCCTGAAGGCTAGGGCCAGATTGCCTTCTCCATAGAGGGTAAAAGCATTGGCTCCTTTTCCTGGAAACTCATTCACAGTGAGAAGACACAGAGGTGGGAGCCCTTGAGTGGATGCTTGCCTGAACCTCCCCTCCAGAAGCCAGAGAGCAGCCTCCTAGACTGGGCTCGCTGACTCTGGTTGCTCTCACCTGCCCTCAAAAGTTTTGAGGTGGAAGAGTTCAAGATTAGTCAATTTAGCACCCCAGAACCTTTGAGGGTCCACAGAAAAATTGCCAGAGAGCAGCTCCTGGTCCCTGAGACACTGGGCTTTATCAGGAAAACAACTGTTGCTTTTTTCTAAAAAATTGAATCGACTTTTACTTTGCTGTGTTCTACAAATATCTCAGCTCTTCATGGTCATCATCCGTCTTTATCCAACCTACAGCTAAGTGTACGGAAATGTAACAGAGGCAGTCCTAGAAGGTGCAAACCATATGACATAGAGTCAGAGAGGTATGAGAACGGGTGGGGTAGATCTGAGAGGAGTTGGGAGTTGGGGGGTCATGGATGAGAATGATCAAAATATGGTGCATGAATGTAAAAATTCTAAAAAAGTTAATAAAAATATTATATAATAAACTATGGTATTTAACCTATTAGTTCTTCAGTGTGCATAGCTCAAAGTAAAGATATTCTCATATAAATCCACAATATTATGCAACGTCTAAGAAAGTTGACATTACCTTAAAATGGCACAAGCCAGGCCATCAAGAAAGTCTAGTGCGGTGGTTCTGAACCTGTGAGCCACAACCCCTTTGGTCCTTATGATATGTCCTTGTTAGTCCCCCACTTTTCTGGCATGCTGCAATGCCCCAAACTGTCTGTAATGTTTCTCCTCCAGAGGTCATCACTTATCTAAAGATTTTTGCTTCTTCTTCAGGGAGCAGTCTTTGGGCTCGATGACAGTTTGATACATTCAGTGGAGCAGCAATGTCACTAACTGATCCGTGAAGACAGAGCTGGGGACTATAATTCACCTGTTTTAAATCGTGAGCCAATCCTGACTGAAACACATACTTCCCGATACTTCTGCACACATATTCCAACAGTGAGAACCCCGGTTTTCTGCATCCATCTGTCTGTCCATTTGCACAATCCCAAAATGTACCAACCCACCAGCAATTAGTGGGCCTACTAACAGAACATTTTCATTTCTCTGCGCTACACTTTGCACTGCTTAGAATGTGCCGTCAAAATACTGTGTTCAAACATTCTGAGTTTCTATCTACATGAACTTAGTTTTAATTTGATAGCCAATTAAGGTCCTTTTAATTTTAACGTTTTCCTTCCTCTATGCTTTGAAAAATAAATGTTACTACTTCCAACACGCAAATCAGTTGCTTCTTTAAAATGTCAGACTCTATGTTATAAAGGATTCCTTCTGAGAAATAACTGACACGATTCTTTTGTATTCTTCTATTCCAAACCTGATAGACCAACATTTTAAATATAAAACACTGCATTTTGCTATCCATTTTCAATTTAGTATTGCATGTATATGTATATTTTAGATACGACTGCTTGGTATTGGATAACCAATTAGGAGGTTCATTCCTGGGGAAGGCTGATTCTCTCTCTCAGCAGCCAATGGCTGCAGCTTCTGAGATATATACAAGACACTATCTCACATCAGGTGTTCTGATCCTCTGGCTCTTACAATCTCTCTGCTTCCTCTTCCATGCATTCCCTGAGCCTTAGACACAGGGATTGTTTTGTGGATATCAGTTGGAACTGGTTACCCCATGATCAGTTGTTATCTGCTTTTGGACTAACTGTGTCCCCTTCAGCCACAAACATAAAACTTCTTTATGAAGGAAAAGAGCTACATTGACGTTTAACTGTTTAATTATTCTTTCATTTCCATTTTATATAGTTTATTTAACAAAAAGCAAATAATATTTGTCCTCTTCTCTTCCTTCTACCTTCTCTTTATCTTCTTCCTCCTTCCTCTTCTCTGCCACTTT